CGCGCTCCCGGAAGAGGGGAGACGCCTTGAGTCGCGCGGCACCGGCCTCCACAGCCATCAATTCCTCCAGAAGCAATCCCCGAGGTCCCTCTTTGACGGCCGTGAGAAACCGCTTGGACGAGAGCTGCCCTTGCGAGGAATTGGAAGTTGGCGTGCTCCCAAGGCTAACGTTCCCGGCCGAGGATTCGGATCGGTTGATGACCTTATTTCTCCTGCGGTACCTGAGCTCCCATTGCTCGACATGAAACGCCTTGGCGATGGCAGCGCCCACGCCGAGCGTCAGATCCTGCCCAGACAGGTCAGAGAGCTTCTTCCAATGACGGAGCATACCCACCATCCCCCCTCGGTGAACCGTTCCCCGCCTCTGCACCGCATGGAAGGCGTCTAGGAACTCTTCGGCCATGCGGGACCTGTCCACCCGCTCCAGGATGGTCTCCAAGAGGCTCTGCCCGTCCCCGTCGTTTTCCTCCTCCTTGCTCGCCGATGCCCTAGAAGGCTGAGCCTTTATTGGCGATTCCTCTCCCGACGGTTGCGTACCCATGCTACGCTGAAAGTCATAGCGTGCCCTTTCCAGCAGCAGTCCCCACGCACAGTCCCGCCGGTACGCGTTCGAGCCTTCGGGTTGGCACCCTTCGCCCTCGTCCTCCTCCCCGTCCTCGCTAGCGGCCTCGGTGCTGGTGTAGCTGTCTCTTCCTGCCCATTGCCTGCCTTCCTGACCGACCCTTGGCGCTTTGCCAGGCCCGCCTAGTCGGGGCAGACTTTCCTGCGGAGGCCAACAGGGGCTTCCGGTTGCCTCGTCTCCCAACGCTGATTTGGAACAACCCCGGGTTCTCTTGGAGGCTGAGTGGGTCATAGAGCCACGGACTCGCGGTCGGCAGGGTAAATTTAGGCGGAAGCACCTGCGGTGGGAGGTAGAGCGTCGTGATGGGAAGAATGCTGAGAAGCCGAAGAGATGACACGTTTCCCGAGCTGACTCCCTAGAGACAGGCACGGTGAACCGCAAGCAGTGAGGGGCACTCGACGGTATGGGTGTACATGTGATTGCAAGGCTGACGTGACAGGTCTATGCCTTGAAAATGGAATGTCCGAGTGTACGCCCAAGTCTGTGTGAATTTATGTCCCCTGTACGTCTCTGGCTGAGGGCGGCCCCCAGTACTCCTTTCCCACCGACTTTCTCACACATACCTCTCGCAAGGAAGGCTAAAGTCGCATTTACTCTGTAAGCATGCATGTGTAAGGGGGGGAGGGTGTTGGTCTCCTCATTATAGTCTATCCGTGGGTGAAATAAAGTCCGGGTGGGGGGGCCCGGCATCTCCTCGGCCGCCGGAAAAATAAAAAAGGTGAAGAGTTCAGGGCATGCTGGGACACGTTACCTTTGAATCGTAGCATTTCTGACAGGACTTATTCTTGGATGATGTACCAAGGTCTTGATATTTTTTTTGAGTGTCCATGGCGATGCTGTACCTGCGGCGAGATCAGCCCACCGGTACGGCAGTCGTTGCTGACTTGGGAGAGAAAAGAGCCAATAGGAAATTAAAGGGCTTTTCCAAACAAAGACCTGCGTCACGCAACACAAAAATTACCAAGTAAGAATGTGAAACCTCGATTTTCCGAGCCTAGTTGATGGCCTGCACGCCGTCTCCCCAAAGCAGAGATTCAGAACGAGTCACAGTGGTCGGCCTTTTGGACCGTAGGACCGGAGACATGCATTTACCGAGTTCCGCGGCGAGGAAAGCATTCTTGAGATGTCTGTGCCCTGCATTGGCCTCTATATACACTGGCATACCATGCAACTCACGAAAACAATTGCCATACATGTAGAACGATTGGAAAACGAGTTATGAATTCATGCCGGGTCGCTGTTTGGTTTCACCCCGGTGTGGAGATTTATTGTCCGCCTTCCCACTTCAAATGGGGATGGTCAAAATATTCCGAGCCCGGCGTAACATATCCCAATCTACAACTGATTTAAAGCCCATCAAACGCAACCATCGGTGCGGTTGTCTCCTGTTCCATTCAATAAGCCACTCCTTTCCCATGCTTTGGTTGCTTCATTTTTCTTTCCTTTTGCATTTGAACGCGCGTGGATCGCTCGTACTATTAAAGTGCGTTGACAGCAAATCTTCGGCTCGCGACCTTGCCCATGAGAGGGCCAGTTTCTCCGTCGTCCTCCCTTGCCTGCTGCAGAATGACCCCACGGTGCGCGACGTCGATTGTCACGCTTTGATCGCATGGATTTCGTAGAAACCAGTGTCTTCGGAATGTATATGTTCCAGCATGTCCGGTATTTAGACGATTTCTCGGCAGGGCGGGTCTCCTCTCAAGCAGGGCCGTCACCCCCACCAATATTTGGTCATTCATGATTGAAGGCCAATGAATCGATAGTCAGTCATGACTCATGCATAAGACTGTGCCCGCCCTGAAGGAGCGATGTCCAAACTAGGGGGGATCAAAGGGGGGCTTAGGAGGGACTAAGGGTGCCTCGCGGGCTTTGGGGCGAAACCCCAGGCAAAAACGCACTTTGGAGTGTCAAAAATGCATTTTCAGGCCCAAAATTAGAAGCCCACACATTTTTCCAGGCCACCCTTACTAGCTGAAGCGTCATTCATGAATGAAATCTCACCAATGATTGGTGACCCATCGATGACCATTAGCAGGGGTTACGACCCTGCTCTCAAGGCTTGCGCTTTTCGCGCCCTCGGCGAGTCTTGAGCTGTCTGTCGGACGGCGGAGACGACATAGCAGACTTTTACCCAAAGAGACTCGGGAAGGACCCTCTCGTGAACACGTTGGCAATTGTAAGGAAACTTGTGCATGTACTTGGTCGTGATACGATGATAGATTCCTTTTTGACAGCAATGCACGCATTTCTTATATAGATGGCGCAGGGCTGCCTGGTTGTGGAGGAGAAAGGGAAAAGAAGAAATCTACCCCGGAAGGCGTATTTCCCCGCAAAAAGCTTCTGGCATTCCAGAATACCCATCATAATACATCTTATCTTCTTCCTGCTCTTCGTCGTCGCGTGCTCTTCAGCGGATCCTCCCATCCAATGTGCTGCACAAAGCTCCGAAGCAGCCTTGCCTCCTTCGGAAGATGCTGCGTGCGTCTGCGTGGACAATTGGACAGGACCGGAATGTCGTGTAAGCCAAATCATTCGGCAGAGGATGAGCGGGTATATTTTCTTTGCATTTCGCTACGATAGGGAATGACGGTAGTCCCTGATCCTTTGTTACAGAGACCACACGTCTGCTTCCTAGCATCTACATGCAGGGTGCCTTATACGCGCGCTCTTTTCCTCGCCTCATCGCCCCACGTCTTCCAGGTGTGCACAGATGACTCCGTGTGCGGTTCTGGGCAGCTGTGTCGACATGCACTGCCGATGTACCAGCGGCTCGAAGGGGTCTGCAACATCTTCACCAAGGGTTTCGCGGATTTTTTGGGGGGAGCTGGAACCCTGGCGTTGCAAATGGGCATGACCGACAGCGAAGGAGGTATATGGGCAGGGTGGAAGGTTCAGGAAGGGGACGAGAAAAGGGAGAGGCAGCGTAGGGTCTGAGGGTCGTTGAGGGGGTGGAGCGCTCTCGGAGACGGTCTGGGTGCCGTCCGGGCATTGCGACGACGCTCACGCTTCTGGGGAATTTTTCTCCACTTCTTGGAATTTTCCTCCCCCCTCTCCTGCCTCCCTCAGCGACGCCTGCTCCGGATGCTGGCTTGCTCGACCTGACAGTCTTCGCGAACCCCTCCCCGGGTATCTTTCGACCAGTCTTCTCGTGCGCGGGCCGCCAGTGCCTGCTCAGCAAGGAGAAGGACTCGCCAGGGGCAGCGGGCGGGGCCCGTGTGGGCATGCAGTGCCAGCAGAGCTCCTGCACCGCCCTCTGCGACAAGGCTGAGGACGCGTTTTGCATCGATCTGATGCTCCAGCTCTTGGCGAGCATCGGGGAGACCGGCACCCTGGACCTGATCTGCGAGGCCGACGGCGACTCCTGCGTGATGCACGAGGCGGTGCTCGACGCCTACTTCAAGGGCATTGTCTTCGACGAGTGCCGGTTGGGGGAGTGCGCGCCTAGGAACGCGGGGAACATGACGCTGCAAGAGCTGAGGTAGGGAGGAAGGGAGGGAGGGAGGGAGGGCAGGCGAGACTGCCAGTGCATTCTTGACGGGAGCTCGAAGCATACTCACGGATAGCCATCGCTCCTCTCCCCTACCCCCCGCACAGCTCCTTCGCTCTGCCCCCGTCCTCCCCCTCGGTCCTCTTCCGCCTCAACCAGGCCTTGGCTCTGGCCGCCCTCCTCCTCGTCCTCGGGAGCTCCCTCGCCACCCTCCTCCTCTATCGCTACAGCAGGGCAGCCGTCGATGCCCTGGGAAGCGTAGAGGGAGCGATGGAGGCCTTTGCAGGGGAGGGGGCCGAGGGGAAGGCCCCGGGAGGCTCCCGCACGGGCAGCACGGACGCGGTGAGGCCGGCGGCGGCTGTCGTCCCACCCTTTCCTCCCCTCCCCGTCCTCCCCTCCCCCCTTCCTTCCCCTG